ATTTGACTTCGCAGCAGAAAAAAGAGCAGCCATTGACGAATCTCCCAGGAGCCCTCCCTCGGCAAATTGTGAGCAGACCAGAGGAGATACGGGGGGAAGGGCGCCAGCCTACGAGGATTGGAAAAAAATTCCTTGGTGGACAGGTACTTTTACTTTCTGCTTGGAAGGAGAGGCTATCAATTCCGACACAGCACCCGCCGGATATGGTCCAGCACTGCTCTCGTGGGCTCCGAAGTGAGCCTATGTCCGAGGAGTAAAGTTGCTATTGGAGCGAGGGGATATCAATCACAACACTGAAGGCATCAAATACAGTGAGATGCAGGATGCCACTCGCGTGAGCAGCAGGGAAGGGACATGACAGAGTACCAGCTTCAATGCCCTAGCGCTTCGCCAGCTTAATGGTCCATAATTTACAAACACAATAAATACTTTTCAATGGGTGGAACCCTTCCGCTTATCACGCCAGAAATCAAAGCCTCCCTTGAGAAAGAGACTACCGACGATCATCCCCATCATAGTATAAAACCTATGATCAATGGTTTCCTTCACATCGTCAATCTTCCTGTCAAGATCCTTCACACCGCCCTTGAAGTCGGCAACGTGCATCTTTAGAATAGTCACATCCTAATAAATAGTTAGTACGGTACTTACTTCAATTGTAGGCTGAACTGAGAGCTTACCTTGTCTAACTCATGAAATTTCCCAGTAGAAAAAGACGTCGTAGATGCAAATTGAGTAGTGATGGCCACGATCAGGTCAAGATCGAGTTTTGCTCGAGCAGGTCATGCCAGATCACCCTCGATCATAAGGGTCACTCGATCAGATTATGCTCGAGCAGGACCCTCATGATCTGCTCGAGTTGCTCGAGTAGGGGTACTGCTCGACCATGATCAATCATGATCAATCATGATCGATGATTCTATCAATGCCTATACCTATATCTGTCCTGGAAATGACATGATATCTATTAATATAATCATTGTCTGCACCACACACTCAATACCATGTCCTTGATGACACACTTCACCACCGAACCCCCAACACGCCTGACCCACCAATTCACTTGTCTAAAATTCCCTTGCTCTAGACGATGATCTCATGAAATCCCAAGTTGACATCCACTTCCAAGAGCCAAGGGTACTAGACTGGAATATAGATATTATCGAGTGGTGGAAATTCCACTGACAATGGCTACCAAATATTGCGTTAATGGCCCCTGGGTAGTCTTTTGACTAATACTCTTGCAAAGTGTTCCATCAGAGCACCTGCAGTTGGATGCAATATTTTTACATGGAAAAGGAAATGATAATCAGCTAGACTCAAGTACGCTCGATTACTGCTCGATCACTCGATCAGGGTCTCCGAATTTGCTCGATCATTCCATCATAGGATCCTCTCGATCAGACTATGTTCGAGCAGAACACCTATGATCTGCTCGATCATGATCGTGTCCATCACTAACTTTGAGTGGGATCGTGATCGGGACCGTTATCAGAATCGTGATCCCATGGAGCCTCATCACTTATAACCTCCTGGCCCGGGGGGGAGGACCCATCAGCATCAGGGTGTTCCTAAATTACCGGTTCTATAAGCAAAAGCGTTGTGAAAATGAGTACTCTGACGGTTTAGGACAAACCAGACTATCATGAAAACCACGTCTGGCTGCGGTGGTCAAGTTTCCATAAAGCCCATGATGGAACCTGGGGATAACGTAGGGGCGAACATAGGGGCGAAGAATCTTTGAAAACATCGTGTGGTTTTGTTCCGTTGGTCGTAAGGATAAAGCAACAGTGAGAAATAGCGACGCAGTCGATGCCACAGAAGCAAGTGTGGTCAAAGAAGTCAAAGTTTTCCCGCACTAACGAGTAAGGGGGGAAAGCTCAAGAGGAAGAAGAAGGAAGAGGAAACCGCGGGAAAAGAAGAAAGATAGGAAGAAAGGACAAACACAGCTAAAAGTCGGCTACACGTAACCACAGTTCCGATACGAAGATGGTAGCAAAGTTACCGCACCACAGCTGCTCTGCAATCCATAGTCTTTTTCTGCAAAAACATTCTTGTCTAAATAGGAATTCTGCCTTTGCTGACTGGGGATAGTGAAACGAGCGACGGACCGTGACGGATCTATAAAAAAAATCCGGAAGGGCGATGATAACTAGGGCATTGTTGTGAAGATAATAGCATTCAAGTATAGGAGTGTGTATGAGCTGGCTGAAGTAGGGGTAATGTTTCTCTTCGGTTTTTACTGTTCTAGTTATGGCAATTTTGTTTGTTCTGGGTACAATTTACAAGGCGTGCCGTCCAATTAATGTGTGGACCAATTGTACTTGTATGCTTACCAACGGCCGGTCGCAAACCTTAGCCTGGTTGCCTCCACTGGGGGTCGGAGTTACGCCATCAGGGCGCTCAAGAGAACTGGGTGGATAATATAGGGGAATCGCTCCTACAAGCCGTGGGATTTAGAAGCTGATACGCAGGCAGTGGGGGAGTCGAATCCGACCGGTCGTCCGGTGTTGTGGGATTCTTATTTTGTGTGGCTAGAGTAGGTAAAGGGATACAGTGGGGGGGAAAGTTAGGCATAGCACAAGGGCTCTAGTGTCAATCTGTCGCTTAGTGCATCCCCGGAAGCGACATGAACTGCCACGGAGTTGAGGTCGGGACACAAAATCTCAATGCCGGCCGGTTGCTAACACAAGGACTTGTTGTCGTAGACAACAAGGCTTCCCTAGTCTCGTAAATCCACCTTACCTTCAAGAGTATCTCCAGACTCATCACAACCCTTTTAATATAGCCTGCGGTAAGAAGATTTGGAAAATGCGGAAATAAGTGATACCGAGCACGACTCCGTTGTTGGCTCGAGCACATAGAATGCTCTAATTAAACTCCAAGAAGCTCTTTCTTCATTTTCCCCTGTTTCCTTACTACAGGCTGCATAATGTATGCGATAACCGCCGAAGCCCGCCTAAGTGATCTGAATTCACAGCTGATCAAGGCTGTCGCGACCAGTCCTTCTCCCGATCTCCTGAGCTCATCCTTTCTACTCTATTCCGCTTTTAATTCCTCACCCACGCGAAACGATATTTCGCTAATTGCTCTGAATTAGTGGGGTTGAAGCCTTTCAACGATTGCGAATACCATGTACTCACCGACATCATATTAGAAGGCTGTGATATCAATGAAGATTGTATCGGTACCGGTAACACACCTCTCGCATGGGCTGCAAGTGGTGTGCTCGAGGAAGTCGTGGAAAGGCTACTGGGACTGGGTAAAGGTAACCCCAAAAAGAAGAGGTAACCGCGGCCAGACGCAGGTCTCTCTTGTACCCCCAGAATACACATGAGATGGTGGTAAAAACAGTATTTGGACCGGGCGACGTCAACCCCAAAAACTGCGGCCTGTACCCTCTAACACCACTCTGATGTGCGGTTTGGAATGGCACTAGGTGTGGTGGAAATACCGCTTGGACAGAGTGACACCAGCCCCGGCAAAGCAGGTGACCGCGGCCAAACCCCACTCTGGTATGCTGCTGGGGATGGGCAGAAGGGTGTGGTGAAAATACTGATCAGAGGAGCGATGTCACCCCGACCAATCAGATGCCTGTTGCGGAACACTACTTGTGTTCTGGCCTGCTGTTAGGTTTGGCCATGTGCGAGTGATGCAGCTACTACAGCCCCTAATCGTGCCAAGGTTGTGACTAAGCGTCACAACCCCTGGTTGCTCGCTCGCTCGCAACCTGGGCACTCCTCCAGAGTGCCTGCCAGCTCAACATGACTTTACAGCTCAACATGACCTGTGGCTCAACATAACTTTTTGTGGCTCAACACAACATTTTGTGTGGCTCAACACAACTTCATTGTGGCTCAATATAAATTTTTTGTGGCTCAACACACCTTTTTTTATAACTTAATATAATTTATTCTATTCTACTTTAAAGTAATATTCTACTACAAGACTATATCCAACTATCCAGTTTGTTTATTCTACAATATTGTATTAAATTCTAAAATTAAATCAATTTACCAGTATTTGATTATCCAGGACCACAAGGCTATATATAGTTACAAATTTGAGCTTTAAAGTTATATTAAGCCTCAAAGTAATATTGAGTAACAATTTTGAACCATATAAAAAATGGTGTTGAGTCACAAAGAGCTGTGTTGAGTCACATAAAAAGTTGGGTTGAGCCACAAAAAGTTGTGTTGAGCCACAGGTCATGTTGAGCTGTAAAGTTATGTTGAGCTGGCAGGCACTCTGGAGGAGTGCCCAGGTTGTGACGCTTAGTCACAACCTTGGCACGATTAGAATAAGCCACCCCTCGCGCCACATATGTTTGAGGTGGCATTGCCCTCCTCATTGTTTTCCAATATGGATGTCCTCTAATTTTACCCAATTTCTGCACTATCATATGTTTCTATCCAGCAAAAGCCCTTCCATCCGAAAGGCTAATGAGGGATAGGGCATTTCAGGCCATGAAATTATCATAGAAATGATGCATATGGGGATTAACGCAAATATGGAAGGACGTATTCAGGGAATAGTATGGGGTTTTAGGGTTTAGAGGACGAGGTTAGCTATGGCAGGGGGTTGTATTTTCTACTCCTTATTTCCATTCACACGAATCAATAGTATATTTGCCATAGTGGGCACCACAGGGTCTGGTTTCGGTCCAGGATAGTTTCGCACAATCTACAAAGTAGAGCAGCATGAAAACACTATTGTCACCCTGTGAGGTTGATTTATTCCGAGTGATATGCCATGATCATCATTCACTGCCGCCTTCCCGTCTCACAGGCATGCCAGTGCTTTTTCTGGATTCACCCTCCCAGGGCCCGCAGACCATCGGGCCGGAGCTAATACGCCCGTAGAGGATACATGTCGGGAGGGACGGTTTCCGGTGATGGGTTTTTGTGCGACGCTTACCCAATTCCCGCGCTAACGCGAAATGGATGTATGAACGCTAGGTGAGTATATTAGACCACTAATTATACTTACTCGAGCATGTCATCGAACGGGAAACTAACCAATCAACCTGCCAGCCAGCCAACAGGAATAGAACCTACTACCGGTATATCATACTTACGAGCAAACCACACACAAACATCGGGATGCCTACCGAAAAGAAGGAGATTGTTGTCTTAGGGTATGTTTCCCCCACTACATGGTAGCAGGGAATACAACAGAGCCCCAAAAGTTAATGGTTGATAGTGCTGGAGTAATCGGTCTACAAACCGCCCTGGCCTTGCTCGAATCTGGATATTCGGTGACTATCGTGGCCAAGTATTGGCCCGGGGATGAACACATTGACTATACTTCTTCCAAGTATGCTATACCCTTTCATTGAAACTCTGGTGCACATTTCCCCGGTTTCCTAACTGGTGATGTGTGTGTAGAGCTGGTGCCGTAAGCCCCACTTACCAAAAGATGGAGAGGGATATCGGTATTAATCCAATCCATAAACAGCACTGGAGAACCCATGCCACGCCCGACGACCTCCAGGGCCAGCGCTTCGACAAAGAGACATACGAGTACTGGCTCGAGCTCGTAAAGAAAGACGAAGATGCAGGCATCGTTGTAATTTCTCCTCCCCCCCCTCACTCCCCCTCCCCAATATCCCTCTCACTAACCGCCCTAGCTAATCCCCTCAATATACATCTGGGACCACCCAACCCCCGAAACTGCCAACTCTGGCGCATCAATCTGGTGGTCGACTCTAGTCCCCACCTTCACCCCGCTGACCCACCCGCACCCGCACCTCCCGGCAACCGCACACTTTGGCATAAGCTACAAGTCCTTCTCCCTAAACCCCCAAAAGTATCTCACGCACCTACTCTCCCGCACCGCCGACCATGGCGTGAAAACGCACACGCACGAGGTCCATTGCCTAAGTGAGGTCTTCGAGCATGTTCCCGACGCGGTCGGTGTTGTGAACTGTACTGGTCTGGGAGCGATAGACCTCGTCGACCCAGTTGAGGCGAGCAAGCTGTTCCCGACGAGGGGTCAGACGATACTTGTCCGAGGAGAGGCGGAAATGGTAAGACTCAGGCTTGGCGATGGGTATATTGCGTACGTTGTCAGGCGGCCAGGGGAGGGGACGATATTGGGGGGGTGTAAGGTGGATGGGGACTGGAATGCCGAGGTCGATAAGGAGTTGTCAAAGGAGATTGTGGAGAGGTGTAAGATTTTGGCGCCGGAGCTATTGTTTGATGGAGAGTTTGATGTCATTTCCGAGCAGGTTGGGAGGAGGCCGAGCAGGAAGGGAGGGCCCAGGATTGAGGTTGAGTGGAAGGAGATGGAAGGAAGGAAGAGGTTTATATGTCATCATTATGGGCATTCTGGTGCTGGGTGAGTGTTCCCGAAATAATGGGCATAATCACAGACTGACACTCGCGCTTCGCTACGACTTCAGTTATCAGAGCTCGGTAGGCTCAGCAAGGGAAGCGGTGGCATTAGTCCAAAGGGAGCTTGAAAAGCAGCAATGATCACAGTGGGCTAGTGCAGTCAAGCTAGTTATCAGCGCCCATGCACCTGGTTCAACAATTCTAGTAAAAACCTATACAATTCCCAAGTGGTCCGAGTCGGCCCGTTCCTCCCTCATAGCAGCTTTGTTTCTATGTGAAATCCAGTCCTATCCAAATTCCTATAAAACTCCGGAGTAGCGACGGTAGCGGCCGTGAGAATACCACAGCCCAATTTCTTCGCCTCGATATCCCCGTCAAACAGGATACTCATAGCGACTTGCACCATTAAGGCTCCAGTGCAAGTGTATGGGTCCTTTTCATAAGTGAGCCTGACAAAAACCTTTTTAGGATTTTCACTCTCGTCGTCCGCCTCCGCTACTCCTTGGTACTCTATTCTGTACTTTGCCATTTGCCTGGGACCCCAATTAGCACGCAAAACACATCATATGAACGAAGTTAAACATGTAGCGTAACCAGCAACATACTCAGCCGTAGGACCCTCTCCGGGCTGAATCAACTTTCGAGCAAGCCACCTATATGACACCATTAGCAACCCCTCTTCAGCTCTGCGCAAATCATGCCCAGGCCTTACCTGAAGGGGGCAAAGATCGGGAGCACTGTGATCGAACACATCATCAAAAACCAAAATACCGCGGAAATCCAGTTGTTCGCTCGGCGGTACTCCATGAAATTAAAATTCTCCCCGTAATACTGCCCCCCGTCAAATGTTCCCCAACTCCGATATACATAGACGGTATCCGGAACAGCCTGAATCCATTTTGTAAGAATCCCCAATTCGGGGTGTCTACGCATTGGCCATGCGAATGGCAGATCATAGCCCCTGACAGGCGAGAGGGCATAAGTTCTGGTTGCGTGCATAACTTCTTGTAGAGTAGAGTGCTCCAGGAGGGACATCCCAGACTGTAACCCGAAAATTAGAACCTGAGTAGTTAATGCGGAGGGCCACAATCTACCTCCAGGGTTCCGCCGCTCATTCCTGCTCTACGGGAGGTAAGCTTCAAATCTCGAAGCAAATGAGGAAGGTGGCGTACTTGAGCTCGTGCAAACAGAACGTCACATCTCCAACGGGGCAATCGTAATTGTCCCGCATACTCTTCACAAGGGTATGCGCAGCCAAATCAGCGGGGGCAGATTCCATCCCACACTGCGGAATCATCTATTTTCCAGCCAGTCAGTAAGCCTACTCTTTTCCGAGAAATCTCGCGGAAACACCACAAACAAGTTTTCACTCACAATAGCACCATTAGCCTTCGCCGTCTTGTGATACTTGTCCACAATTTCCTTCACCCAAGTAATCTCCCCGGTGGAGTCGACATAATGCGTCCCATTAATAGCACAGGCTTCCACAACTGCAGTTCCATACCGGATAAAGGGTCCGACAGTAGATATCAAGCACCGGGTAGCTCTAGCCATCTTCTCGAGGGCATCTTCGTCAAGGTCGGCAATAAAAATTCCTGGATCACCCATAACCATATTAGCGGGTCGATCAACCAGATCAATAGATCGAGCTGTGACGTGCCAACGGGAGCACGATCCGGAAACCTTCTGTCAAAATCAGTAGCCAACAACTCGAGTTTGTGAGGGGAGCGGCCCGCGATGGCCCATCTCAGACTCGAGGGGGTATGTTGGAGGACCTGTTCCGCCGTGAGTTTGCCGGTATAACCTGAAGCGCCGAAGACGATGAGATCGTATTTTCTCTGAGGATGTGGGAGAGCCATTGAGCTGTGTTTCTTTCTTTCCTTTTTTGTTTTTCTTTTTTTAATGGAGCGTCTCTGTTATGAAGACGATCAAGACAATAAAAGGGGAGAAGGGAGGAAGAGAGTGTGAGGATTCAACTGAAGGAGAGGAGGGGGTACGGTGCCTCGAAAAGAAGGAATATGTGGTGTACCGGTAGGAGAGTATGATATCTGTGATAGAGAGCCTCATTTCAGGAGAAAGACATGACAATACCATGCCCCGTATTGTGCACTTGGACCGTACGAGTACTAGTACCATCCAGCGCCATATCAGACGGAGAGTAGCACAGCATACTCGTGTCGCCATGTGAGACCTTCCTCTCCTATTGAAAAGCACAGAACTGAAGGGAAAAAACTGTCAACTCAAGATCCCCCCATTTCCACCTCTCACTCGCATTACCGTAGGGTCCGACGCGATAGGCTATGTACGAGTACGAGAGTCAACGTCTACAATCTAACAGCAGTCGCAATGAACAGAACAGTGAAAGGGAGGCTTCCATTCTTGCCAAGTGACATCCTCCCTTGGCGAAATTATCCTAAATAGGTCTAGACCCCCCACCTCCCTTGAGACCTTCAAATCCTAAATTTTTTATCTTTACCATCCTTCCATCGTTGTCCCCCCACCACTCTCTACCGCTCTAGTAGAGAAAAACTCCAACGATAACATCCAATGGCCCCAGTGACAAGAGCCCGTCGAAGAAAGGACTCGATCCCTCTCGTCCTGGTCCTCAGTGACCCCAGAGGCTCCCGCCCCGCCCCAGAGCTCCCACTTCTCCAACCGGAGGACACGATAACACCCGCCGCCACGCCCTCCAAGCCGGCAAAGAAAAAACCTGCTACAGAAGGCACAGACAAGCTCGCCAACGGCACCGTAGACCAGCCACCACCACCGCCAGAGGACAACCCAACTGATCCCGCCGCTGCAGATTCCAAATCCGATTCCGGCGACGATGATGACGACGAAGCGCCGGAAGCAGTGTCGCTAGACACCGGTCGGGAAGCCGCGAGAAAAGCGCAAGATAAGGCAAAGCGCGCTGCGGAAGCGTAACCCCCTCCCTCCAATTCAACGTGTGAATATGGGGGAATAACTAACAATGGAAACAGCCAGGCGGAGGCTGCTCGAAAAAAGCGAAAGGCCCGCGACGCAAAGCTGAAAGGACAGAAGGAAGAAGCGAACGAGCGGAAGAGGAAGCGGCGCAAGGCCAATCCCGAGGGCGAGGAAGAAGAGGTGGTAGATAACTCCAAGGCATTAACCATCGCCGAGAAATCTGCGGAACCATCGGTAGACGAGGCAAATGTGACGAATCCATCCCCATTATCACCACTGCCGGCAGAGGAACAACTCAGGAAACCAACCCCCCCAACACTCCTCCCAGAAACACTCCTAGCACAAGTGGCAGCAGCAAAACGCCGCCGCCACCGGGAACAACCAGACTCGCACCCTAAACCCGAACACGAACCCGAGCAAAAGAAGCAAGTCATCGGCACCGGAATTGTTGGTCGCAACGCAGAACAAAATCGCAGAAATAAACAGCGGCAGAAGCTGAACAGAACGCTCAAAAAGGGCCCCGTCAGTGTTAAGGTGCTCAAGGACGATACAAAGTCCAGGAAGATACTGCCGCCTCCTGCGGCTAAGGTTGTCGGTAGTATTAAGGATTCTTGGCTGTTCGGGAGGAAGACTGGGGGGGCTGTGAGGAGGGATGTAGTTACGGGGTTTGTGAGGAAGTAGCGGAAGTGGCGGGGTCCGCTGAATTAATCTATGGAAAAGTTTTTCTCCTTGTGTTCTTGCTCATATTACGGGGTACGGTGCGTATGCGGCGGCGTTAGTGGCCTGGGTGCGTGGAGGCAGCCGTGGGTCATCGGAAATCACTCACTGACTATCATGCTAAAAAAAACCAGTTCAAACCTTTGTATCATAAATACGACGAGTCTATAAAACGCTCATCATAGCACAAGTACTCTTATAACAGTTGATTCGATCCACAATATTCACATCCCATGCCCAGCCAATCCAAGACCAAATCTATAATTCAGGTTAACTGCGATGCCAAATCTGGATGCAATACCAAACCAAACCCAATCAATCGGTAACAATCTTTTCAACTTTTACAAGAATATAAAATGAGGAAAGAAAAAAGCCAGCTCTTGCAATCATACAATTCCCAAACCACCCCCGCCCCCCTTGTAATAAATATACCCGGGACAGATGGACAAAGCGTCTAGTGATGGTGATGTCCAATCTGCGTTGCCAAGGGTAATAACATACCCACCACGGCGGCGAGCGTATCTTTCATGGTGGACTTTTGCCCGCCATTGCCTGACTCGAGCTCGGACTGGCCTTGCATGGTGTGCATGGCGACATACCTGACGAGTGTATTCGAATTAGACCATCGGCTCATCGTGACGTGAGATGGGAGGAGGGGAGGGAGCATACAAGAACGTTCCTCCACTAAACAGTAACAAGACTCCGGTCCACCACTGCATTCCCTCGCCACTACCTTCGCCCAGTAATCCGAGCAAGATCCAAGTAACGACCGCACCCACCGGCGCCGCCATCGAGAATACGATAAGGTGAGCCCTAGCCTGCCTCTTTCCCAATCCCGCCCTCAGAAGGACAGCGCTGAGTCCGAATGCCGCAGGAGCTTTGTGCAGCATAATGGCGAGGAACACAATCGCCTCCAGCGCAGTGTTAGAGCTCGTCGATGAAGCGCCCAGGGCAATACCATCGGCCGCAGCGTGGATAACAAGACCGAGGGTCGTGGACGAAGTTTTGGAATATGGGTGTGAAGGGGAAGGACTATCCAGCGGGGGCGACGAGGCAGATAGGGAACGGAGGTTGTCGATTTCTATGTGGTAGGGTTGCGGATTGTGCTTGTGTGCTTGGTGCGGGAGGACGTCGATCAGATACATCAGGATGAAGCCAGAGATCAGTGATAGGCCGACCCACTTGTGCGCGGTTTCGGTGGTGGTGGTGGAGTGCTCATGTCCGCGCTCATGCTCTGGGTCAGAGGATTCGGCGTTGCGCTCAGAGTCGTGGTCGCGGCTGTGGTCGTGGCCGTGCGGTGGGGTGGTGACGGTATGGGTTCTCGTGTCGGGGGCCTCTATGGCTTCGGCGTCCCGGGAGTGGTGGTGGGGGAGGTTCGCTGCATGCTCGGACCAGGGAGCGGCGGGGGCAGCAGCCCGTCCGCGCAGCATTGGACCGGACGTGGGAGACATTGCTGATGGCGGAGCGAGCTTAGCGCTGTATATGGTGTCTATACCTTCCGGTATGATGACTATCAGACTCGTACCCACCAGAACGCCCATCCCTACCGTTGAGATCAAGCGTAGCTGGGAGGGGGAGAGAGACACTGCTAAGGGGAGCATGCCGGCGCCGAAGGAGCTGGTTCGCTTGTTAGCGTTCACTTGGCGGTGCATGGCGGACAGCAAGAAGGAGGGGGAGGTGCGTACGTTATGGCCATCACAACACTGAAAAGCAGAAGAGTGAAGAGGCCTTCCGGCATCTTGGAGGTATGGTGGTGATTACAGGTGTCACGGATTGCCGTAAGATAATGCAGGATAGTGTACTCGAGTAGATGTACAGCGCCTTGGAGAGAGGAAGGAAGGAGGGGAGGAGAGAGAGCGGCTGCTGGTTGGTTGGCTGCTCAGCGATCTAGTCACCTTTTTTTCTTTTTTTCTTCTCTTTTCCGATGTCATCAAGTTCATCAGTCGTGAGGAGAGAAATGATGTCTTTTTGGTTTAGGAGAAGCTGTGAAAGGATGATAGTCGGGACCCAAAAGAGGCACAGGGCGGACACCCGGGGAGATTGGACGGTGATACTGTACCGGCGCCGTACGGTAGCTGCGAACAAAACTCTTGGCTTCAGGGGATTCTCAGCTCACGCGTCTGAAGATGCCAGTATGCGTTTTACAGTGTGTCAGGTCTTTTTTTACATCTACTCGTACAAGACGGGTGGGAGGGAACTTTTCCGCTGGTCCCCTACAATTCTTTCACGAATGGGATCGCCCACGTCGATACCGGACAAGATAGCAGGTCCTCATCTCATCGCTCTGTGCATCTACAGAGAACACGGCTACCGTATCGTGTACGGTACAGGCAATGGTACAAGTCCTTACTCGTAGTACTAGTAGTCTACCGGCACTGGCAATGCTCAAGCAACCATAGACCATAACCCGCCAAGACCGCAGTACTGGTACGGTATAAGCCCTCTACTTGAGTAGTACTCGTACATAATAGACTTAGTTCACCCACTGGAAACGCGACTTCCTATTGAACCCTTTTACCGGTACAGTAAAGTGCCATCCTCACCTACCTCCCCATCCAACACCACAAACCATCCCATTTCCCTCCCAAACACACACCCCCTTCCACTCGCTCCCCCTTGTCACAGAACTAGGTCAGATCCAAAGGGGAAAACATCGCCATGGAGGAGGAATGGTCCGCCGACGCGAACGAAGCTATAGAGCTATCGCTCGTCTCGACCACCAGCGGAAAACCGATAGCTACCTTCCATCCGCAGTTCACCTATGGGGTCTTCGGAGAATCGGAAAACATATTCGGTTACAAGGATCCGAACTTGCAAATTTCGTTTGCGGCGAACGACATGAAGTGTTGTCTGGATATTTCCTATGAGGACAAGATGGAACCGCAAGGCTCTGTTCAGGCGGAGGATCTGGAGGCGATCATTACAGAGTTTCTTCCCGAGGGTATGGTTTTATTCTGGTCACTATGGTGCGGAGAAAGTGGAGGAATGGCGGGAGGAGGAAGAAGCTAACCTTTTACCTTAGATTGCGAGAAAGACCTCAAGGAATTCCAGACAATAATCCTCCAGCGTGATGATACAAAGTGGAGACCGCCCGGGGATAAAATCTCGGAATATTCCCTCAAAGGGAAGACCTACGAGGTCTGGCGCTCTACGATCGACGATCCGTACTGTAGAAGTATTCTCAAGAACATACAAATCCTGATCACTTTCTACATCGAAGGGGGAACAGCGATCGACCTTGAAGACGAAGAATGGACCAACAAGCGCTGGGAAGTATTCTTCTTGTAAGCTCCCCCTCCTCTCTCGCCTTCTTCCATCGCCCGCGCTAACAGCCCCCCCAGATACGAGAAATCCGCCACCAACCACACCTTCATCGGCTACTGCACCTGCTACCGCTACTATCTCTACAACTCCAAATCACCCGACACCAGCCGCATCCGGATAAGCCAATTCCTCATTCTCCCACCATTCCAACACCAAGGCCATGGCAAGAACCTGTACAACAGCCTGATCACCCACTTTCTCACCATAACCTCAATCCGAGAAATAACCGTCGAGGACCCCAGCGAGGCTTTCCAAAGTCTGCGCGACATCCAAGACCTCCACCGCCTAATCCCAGCCCTCACGCAATCAAACCTGACCCCACAGTCATTCTCCAACAAGTCATTCCCCAGCGCGGATATCCGTACCCCGGCGAAGCTGCCCGTGCGCCAGTTTGCGCGCGTGTGCGAGATGTTCATGCTCCGGGGAATTGAAAAGGGCGACGAGAAGAGCATGAAGGCCTTCCGCTTACTGGTCAAGGCGAGGATATACAAGCAGAACAAGGATGTGCTCGCGCAGCTAGATCGCCTGGAGAGGATTGATAAACTGCACGATACATATTTGCATGTTGAGGATGAGTACAAGGGTTTGTTGATCGCTGCTCGGACGGCCCCCGTCGAAGAGGAGGAGATGGAGGAGATAGAAATGGCGAAGAAACGTTCTGCTAATGGTGAGGGGGGGAGAGCTTCTAAGAGGGTTAGAGTTGCGGAGTGAAACTACTGTATTACCAACGCATTTAGGACACCTTCTTTGTAGCCTTAGCCATTCCTTCCCACCGTAGTGTATCCTTCCATCTTTCATCTCTCTCTCTCTCTCTCCCTCTTTCTCCCCTTTATAACTAACCTTCCCATGGGAGAAGGGTAGTGAGCAACCGGTGACATTCCTATATATCTCTTTTTTTTTCCCTTTTTCTCTCTTTTTTCTTTCTCACGTGTACGTTTACGGCGCATGGCTTGATAAGAAGGTAAATGGCTACCAAACATTCTCAAACCCCTCTCATCCTCCGAACTCCGAGTTTAACCCCTATATCATAACATCTCGTACCACCATCCTAAGGGAACGACAGCGATAACAATCAACATACATACCAGCTTCCAAGTCCAGCGCATCCCCCGTCATTCCAAGACTAGAGCATTCCCACAATTAACCCCCGATATTCCCACATTCACAACCGCTCCCATAGCAGCACACACATATCAATACCAACGAACCACCACAATCACTACCGCACAGCAACCCCCACCACGAGTGATGCCCCGTGATGCACAGGATGATATGACACATGAGCACAGCGCAAGTGCGAACACTCCACCATACCAAGTGAAAACACTCCAGAAAGCACAGCGCACGGCACGTAGACGATCCCGCCAAAACATGGAAATGCACGATAACCGCGAGAGGGCGAATCATGTAACAACACAAGTGATGCCAGTACGGTACAAGTTCAAGCTTAGCAGCAGGCCTTATAACGAAAACCAAATAGGCATGATACATATCCCGATAAATCCATCCAGATGCTCACTTTTTTTTCCAAAGTATCATAACCGTCCACCCCGTTTGAGCTCCGATGGATATCTGACGGGTAAGAAAACATATATATATATATATGCTGCCCCGGGACGGGATTACCGGAAATGTGATGCGAATAGATGATTTCGGTGACTTGAACTGCCACCGTCGGTATCGTATCACACGTGTCCTTCACTTCGCGCACGTACCGGTATTGTTGGTATTGTTCGGGGGGAGGTAATTAGCGCGGATGGTCGCGCTTGATTATGGGAATCTGGTGTGAATGGATCCTGGGCAGGGGGGAGGAGGGGTTGGCCCTGAGGTGTGATGCGGCGTTGAGGTTACGGGTTTGGCGGTGGGATCCGCCAACTAAGGGGCTGTTTGGCAACTCGTAGTTTGAAATCATCGTAGTTACAAACCATGGTCCTGCAACCATAGTTTGTTTGCAGTTACAAACTATGGTTTGAAACTGTGGTTTACCAAACAGTACCTGTATCATAGTTTGGGAATTATCAATTTAAAAACTTGGTTTACTAGTGTAGTTGAAATAATATGGAGTGAAATAAAATATTAACTTAAAGAAAATGTAAAAAGCTCTTATATCTATCCATTTACCAATTATTCAAAAAATTTGTTAGATTATTTATAATTTTATAAAATTAAAATTAATTTACCAATCAACTGTACATTAAAATAAAATTAAAAAAAAAATAACATTGCTAAAAGCTTCAACCATGGTTTGGAAAATTTACAAACTGTGATTTGTAAAGTCATGTTTACCAAACAGCCCAAAGTTACCAACCATGGTTTGAGCCCAAACTGTAGTTTGAAAGTCCAACTACGCTTTGCCAAACAGCCCCTTAATACCCGTTGGATATTTGCCTTTCTGCGGTAAACGCTACTTTCACTTCCGCATGCCCAGAGCGTGATAAGGTTGGCCTGGGAGAATGTTCGTTGGGTGCAGCGCCCTGCGGAATCGGCTCCGGCTCGGGTCGGCGGAATGCGTCGCAGGAGGCAATATTATTACGATATCATACCTCCCAAATTACATATACAGGCACACCAATCGGAAGAAAGAAAAAAGGTCAATACTTGGGACTGCCGCACTTCTCTATGCCTCTCTATGACTACTACGGAAACTCTAACCACCAGCATCACACCATATACCCGGGGCAATCCTCCCCCAACCCAAGATACAAAAGCAACCTCGGTATACCGTACCATCAGCCCATCGCCGCCCCAAACGCCTAGATTAAAAACAAAAATAGTGGCAGAAATAAGGACTAGCATCTGAGAACAATAGCAACGGCCATCAAACATTGGCAATCAAGAAGCTTGTCAGGCTTCCTGTCGCAAGGCCAGCCACCAAGCACATTCCTAGTCTATTGTTAGTGGCGCTGCTTATCGGAAGCGTTGCGAGGAGGAAGAAAATACCCATAAAACCGCCACTAGCTTCTTTCTCGTCATCACCAACCCATCCAGGTGTTGACATCATGACATTACTCCCAACCCACCCGTTCGACATTCCGAACGTGAATTGGACAAGCCAGTAGAAGAGATCGCTCGATATCACGGCCCCATGGCCCTTGATGTTGCACATCATGTACAAAGGGATGAATGCCAATCGAGCTATGGAGACCAATGCGAGAAGCTTCGGCCTGTCACAAGTGAACCTCCGCCATCCGCAGATCACTCGTCCGGTTAAGTCGCCCAAGTTCCAGAGCATGAACCCGATAGGAATGAATACATCCGGTTTGAACATCCTGGGAGACGAATCCTCAGGGCGTACAGAAAGAATTACTTGGGTGTAGACTGGGAACACCATCGTCACGAGGAAACACAGCCATACCGCGAAGGAAAGGAATCTGAGTTTCTTCAGAAGAACCCACAGAGATACTTGGGTGTGGGTTGCCGGAGCAAGGCCCTGCGAGCCAATAGCTTCAGAACCGGATTTGTGTGGGGAGATGCGGTGACGGGAAAGTAATAGTAGGAATAGAAGTAGGCAAGAGCCTGAAACGAATGTCGCGGTGAGGAAGTATATGAATGCGGACTTGGGCGATGCCGTACTGCCCTGAGTACCCGGAGACCGAGGGACTGCTAAGACCGATATGATTTCTAGACGCATTTTAGTATCCACTTAAGCGTATATTGTAGGGTATTGAGCTGAAATCTACGCACGAGCTATTGCAGGAAGAACACCGGCAACTCCTTGGCCACTATATTAAACTGGGATCAGCAATCAGTTTCACGCCGGTGTGCCCTTGGGACAACAAACGTCATGACCGCTTGGGTATATATTCCGTCAAACTTGTTGACAAATGCAAACATTCCATTCTGACTCAAACCCGAGCTCCAGCTCGCCCAGAACACACAGGTCAACAGAACCACGACGTACGCTTCCGGGCCAACTCTAAACATAACGGCTGATAAAGCAAGCATCGTAAACACACCGCAGTTGATCACCAGCGAGGCACATATTCTCCAGGGGTAGTTTGCAGATTTTTGGCGATACGAGAGGTACAGCGTAGATCCCAAGTTCGTTACTGAGCTTACCGCCAGGATGAGCGACTGGAAGTTGTTCAGGAGAAACTCGTTCTGCGTTTCCTGTCAAATGGCTGTACGATCCAGCGCAGAAATCGCGAAAGCTCTCACCTCAGCGAACCGGCGCTGGAAATATGTAGCGCACGCCATAAACATGTTCCAACTCCACAACCTGTAGTCCATAAGCTTTAGGTTTGTCCAGACTTCCTCCCAGGCGAAAAGGGTTCTACATAGCTACCCCCAGGGACAAGAAGACAAAATACTCAAATCGAGAGACACGCTGTGCCCTCGGCAAGCTCATATCCTCCCGCTCATCCTGATCCTCCAAAGGTTCGTAGGTCGGTTTCCACCATTCTCTGAGTCTTTGCATGATGTATGATGGTGATGAATCGGAGTTGGGTACCTCCAACGCTAAAAAAGTGGATGGAGTTGAAGGGGAAGGAGAAGGGGAGGGCGGGGAAGGAGACCCAGGAGGCGAATGAAGCGTGAAGCTCGTCCTGCGGTCCGGGGTCATAAGGTCAGTCATCGGCGGGAGCAGGGCATAGAATTCGGACCGTTTCGTAACTTTCCCATCGCTAGGGTTAGGAATCGGAGGCTTAATTCTGTGCCGCCCTATCATCCGGGGGTCATCCTATGGTAATCGAATCATCTTCAGGCCGGTACCAAAAGTACTACTACAGTACGGTAGTTTAGAAGGGAGAGGTTTACTAGGTCGTGGTTGCATTTTGTGGATGTCTTGGCACTCAATATTTCTGTAGATAGGCAAGCTCCTTCCCTTTCTGTCTAAATTGTGTTCCGTTTCTTCTCTTTTCCTTCGCACTCGTAGCCTACTCCGTACGGTAGGTTCGCTGCAGTATCATATTGTCCCCTAAGCTCCCCTTTCCCAGGAAAACTCCCGCAGCTTGTCCTGCGGTATATCGCACAGTCATGGTTCACCTCTCATAGGCGTTAGTTTGGTCGAACGCACCATCCAATCTAGGAAGCTTAGCAGAGAAACTTCTACACTAGTACTCTCCAAGCGCCGCAGAAGGTACCTGGCAGACTCACGCGGACAGCCTTTGTGAATGTAAAGTGGGGCATGATATCGGAACCTGGTACCGGTAGTCCATCACGCTTAAAACTTATCAGCAGGGCCTTACAAACACGGTAGGTATCACACGGATAGGTGAAATATGGAAGTTGATTGCACGATACATCGGCATCCCTTCCCAATGCTTTTTCAACCGCTTGAACCACGAGTACCGGCACCAGTACAGCACTCGCCAATTCCAAAATTATCCTTAAATCCGCGTGCCAAGCCTCCAGGTATCGCACGCAAATCCGCTATTCTCGGTAGTCCCATTACAGTATACCGGTATCTTGGATTTGAGCTTTCCTGCCTGCTGTCGCGAGCAGATCTTCATACTGAAACCCACCCCCTTCCGTGTCGGGATCGTGCTGGTACAAGGTCCGGGGATAGTCCAAGGCACCTTGTCAGAAGTATTAGGTACTTGAATTCGATGGACCGTACGAGTTACCTACCGCACTACTTGGTTCATCAACCTTGAGATTGAGGAAATGGTCGGAACCGTGTTGATGTACTGTACACTCGAGGATAGACACAGTTTATTGGTATGCTGGCGCAGTACTTAGCCATTTATAAAGTATTCGGACGCAGTACTTAGCCATTTATAAAGTATTCGGACGCAGTACTTAGCCATTTATAAAGTATTCGGACGCCTTGCACCCACACAGGCGCTAATAATGCCAAGGCGTCCGAATACTTTATAAATGGCCAAGTAGGTGGTATGGTCTTAAGCGCACGTATCGGGCAGGCAATCAAGCAAGAAGCGCCCTGTCCATCCCCCATGTGCCCTGCTCCACATATCTTCCTTAACCACTTTCTTCAATCTCCGGTTCCTCGCGCACAACCCCCGACACATCTCTTTTGGCCCTTGGTGTCTCACTTTTTTACTGCACTAGTACTAGTACACTAGATGTACCAGTACTAGAATCTTTCTCCTGTTAGCTGTTAGGCCCATCACATAGTATCACCCGGATCCAGCGTAATTTCCGGGCTTTGGCCGTCTACGGTATCCCCTGCAGCCATCTGTTTGAAGGATTGTTGGCGTGGGGATCGTGGGCGCAGTACTCTTACATACGTTTCTTGCTGCAAACTTCCAGCATATGCCTAGACTATTATTTCTTGTAAAATAAGCATTTCTTGTGTTGTAGAAGCGTGTGTGTAATACGAAAAACTTTAAATAAGCATAAAAACCGGAGTCTACTGGCGCAAGGGTCGCTGCCTGCTATTTTGTTTTGTGTCTGTATTCTCGAGGCGGCGGCCTCGCAAGATTCACTCGCAGCTGTTGTGGATAGGCGGTAGGCAAACTCGTCGCCCTGACAACTGTCCTACGCGAAATCACGTGATAAATACAAACCGACTCAGAAATCTAGCAACAGACGACGTCTCTTCCTCCATCCCTTTCCAGCTAGAAAATATACTCCGCGGCCCAAGCGATCAGCTCGCCTCGAGGAACACACTTGGAATTCGCAATATGTCTTCGGATGCTGGCTCTCGAAGAGCTGCACCTAAGCAGAAGAAAACTTACGGGAAAGGAGTCAAGTCCCATCTCTCTGGATGGTTTGGTCGAGATTTGTGGAGTGCAGTTGAGCCTACTGTGGTCTCTAGGAAGAAGAATGGGGATAAGAGAGTAACCGCTGAGGACGACGAACTGGCAGAAAAACAGCTTGTCGATGAACAGAAACAGAGATTGTCTTCTGATACAGACAAGAGCGTGGACGGAGGTGTTAAACTGACGGCCCCTGTCACTGTCGTGCAGGAGGCGCCTGTTACAGAGGCAGCCGTCCTTGACGAGGTGGAGGTGAGGGAGGTGAAGGTGTTAGGAGATGGAGATTTCACGGACTTGGAGGCGGAAATAGATGGGATCTTGGAGAGCATGGGAAAGCTCGACGTCCAGACCTCCCATGATCAGACTGCAACAACGATAGCAACGATTGACCTTACTAATGGTGCTGCAGAATTGGATCCTGAAGCTAGGAGCATATATTCTCTTTCTTCCGTCCAATTCAAGGAAAACTCGGATAAGGAGAACGAAGAACCACAGTCAACACCGCCCTTGCCTCCCATTCATAACGGCGTACGCAGCTTCCGCAGGAAGCCGCCTGCATCGGCGGAGAACTCACCCCGGGACGTTCTCCGTGAGCGGCCAGTATCACCTGATGGATTTACGGTTCTTGAATCACCGGCCAGGAAAAATGGTGTTCGGAAGAGGGGAGCGAGGAGATCGGTTATATCTACGCAGTCGCCCGCTCCGTCACCGCTTAGGGAGGAGGGGAAGAAGGGGCTTCAAGGCGGTGGAGATGAGGGTGAAATGGAGAATCCAATTACTGTGTGGGAAGACGAAGGTATGGGGGCTATTAGGGTTGGGCCGTTGGTGAATCTGCTTGGACGGAAGGCTTCCAGAGTAGAGCTACTTGAGATCCCGGATTCCGAAGATGAAGGTGAAGAGGAAGATGTGGCAGCAATCGTGGTAGAGCCGGTCTATTCTCAATTGAGTGAGGAGAGCCCCTCAAAGGTGCTAGATGAGGAAGACAAAGGGTTGCCTGTTATTGATCTGGAGGAGGTTTGTTCAGCAAGGGTATCGGAGAAGTCTCACGAGGAAGGACCCGTCTCATCCGCCGGATCATTGTCAACGGAGCATCTTTTACGTCTTTGCACAAACGCCTCAATTCTCGATTTTGAGGAATATATCAATTCGCTTGCCGAAACCTCTTCAATCCGAAAACTAGGCGAGGCTTCCTACAGCGAAGTTTTCCTTCAATCAACCCCCGGATCACTGACTACAACGGTCCTCAAGATTATCCCTTTCGGTGGCCTGGACCAGTGTGAGCTTGAGAGCATTATCCAGGAGGTCCGAATTACAAAAGCTATGGGTGATATTGAAGGCTTCATTGGCTTTCGTGGCGCCTTTGTCGTTCAAGGTTATTTCCCCCAACTTCTCATGGATGAGTGGGGTATATATGACGAGGAGCGTGGCTCCGAGAATGAGAGGCCAGATTTCTACGCGGAGGATCAACAATTTGCTATCATATGCCTAGAGAATGGAGGTACTGACCTGGAACATTTCGATTTGGAGGGGTGGGAGGAAGCATGGGGGGTCTTCTGGCAAGTGACGCTAGCACTTGCAAGAGGGGAGAAAGAGAGGGACTTTGAGGTATGACTTATAGTCCAATTTATAACAGGGTGTGACTAAGGCTTTGACTAGCATCGCGATCTACATTATGGAAATATTGTAATTCAGAGAGTATCCGATGACAATGATTCCGCAGAAGAACTCTTGGGAGAACTTTCACTTCAGGACTCGGACTCTGAACAGCCTAAGAAAGAACCTACCGGTGTGAAACAGGGAGGTACCAAACTCGATGTCGCCTTAATCGATTACACTCTTTCCCGTGCAGTCTGCGGAAACGGCGAAGACGGGGACGTCAGTGTAGAATTCGCCCCTCTAGATGATAACGCCCTCTTTACAGGCAGGGGTAATAATACATCACTTCATGCCCTCTATCTCCAAGGCGTCATTATTACTAGGCTAACGCAATGTTTTACATCTAGGCGACTACCAATTCGATATCTACCGCTTTATGCGTAGCCACCTCCGCACTGGCCTTGCAGACCCTTCCGAGGAGTGGATAGACTGGAACGTTTACACTCCAAAGACCAACACATATTGGCTCCACTACCTAACCAACATTCTCCTGAACAGGAAGCAAATTCCACGACCCGCCGCACGAGGCAAGAACGCCGCTACAGGGGAGCAAAGGAAGTGCTATAAGAACTTGGAAACGGTCACGAAAGTACTCGACCCACGTAAGCGCAAGTTTGGAAAGGATCAGGTTGATTGTGGGAGTGCGGTGGAGTTTGTAGAGTGGGCTGTTAAGGAGGGTATTTCCGAAAAAGGGATTTAGTCAGTTACACTGGCTTAGTTTGGCAATTTGCAAAGTCGTGTGTTTGTACGTGTTTGTGTGCGTTGTGGGAATTAAGATGGACTTGTATTTGAATGGATGGGTGAGTGGGTGGGTGGAATGGACTGGCGCCCGGGGTCTGTGCGAGTTTTGCAAATTTGCTGTTTTTTATTCCCTTCGTTTTCTTTTCTCATTCTGGGCTTGTGTGGGTTATGCATATCTCGTTTTCTTGAAGTGGCGCTTGGAGGGATTAGCGTATGCTGGTCTGGACGATGGAAAGAAACCCGGGTATGAATAAATGGGTCAAGTTGAGGTGGAAAAAGACTCTGTTTTTTGTTTTTGTCCGCATTGGCGATTTTGGATTGGGGTTTGTGAGATGTTATTCAGTTTACGATAATTCATTATCGGTAGTTGGGTAGGTTCGAGATGTTTGTTGGTGAACTTGGGGTGCGTAGGTGAGATCTCATAATATATTGTGTGGATGGTAATGGTAAGCAGCGGTGTTACTCGCGCTTGACTAGGACACTGGTGTTGGAGATAGCAGTTGATGGCCTCACTTGGTGTGGGATGCGCTCATACATGGAGGCTTCAGTAGTATATGTTTGCACCACTGAAGGACGCGTAAGCTAGAAAAACTTTTCTCATCCCTGTCTCCTCTTTCCTTCTGTTCTCTCTCACAAGACAACCACTTCCTGTACTTTACCTTCCTCTTCGAGTTCTTCCTCTCTGTCGTCTCGGAACAATCAATCATGGTCTTCACCATCTAAGTCAAATCTCATGTCTCCACGTGAGCCATTCCACTCCACTGCGTAAACCCTCACCATCGATCATTACCTCTGCAACAATCATTTTTCAGCAACTGGTGTTATTAGGAAAGTACGGGCTCAATGTTTGTTTTTTCATTCGTGACGCCCAATTTGAAAGCGAGAAATTCCAGATGCACCTGCCAGTAGGGTGAATGCTTGTTCCCGCATTGATATCGCGCAAAACACCTAGCTGGCGCGGTATGATAGCTCCTTAATCTGGTGACTAACCCGTAGCGGATGAAGAACCGCTGGGCGGGTATATTAACCACTAAGACTCACCCGACAAATGCCAAGCCCCCCGATTAGTCATCCAACCGCCTTCCATATATTGCTTCTCAATCCTCATCCAGCCCTCCTTCTGCCTGTTTGGCGGAACTCACTCTTCACACCATGCCTCTCCCGACGGCCTCAGCCAATGCCCTGACCACCTTCCTCAACTGCCCAACGGCCAAAGGCATCCTATGGTGGATGCCGTCTAGAACAACACCTCGTAGGATGCCTCCGGGGACGCAACGGGGATGCAACGAGGGACGCTTTGGCATTCAACCCTTCTGAACAATATTGGGTTTAGGTTTAAATCACTAGGGCACTTGATATATTCTGATCGTTCAGATTATATAACAGATGGAGAAAGTTTACCAAAGGTGTAGATTAAACCTATATACAGTGTTGCGCTACCCTAGTTTTGCCAAGGCATCCCCCGTTGCGCCCCCGGAAGCGTCCCTCGAGGTGTTCTCTCTAGACGGCATCCGCCATAATAAACTCCGCAAGCCCCCACCAACGCCGTTCGGCACCTATGAAAACCCCTCCCTCTTGAGCAAACACACATATCCAACACCAGGATACCCCAAGGGAATATACTATAGTGCCAACCCTGCCATACAAACTCCAACAACCCATACCCATCGCCTAATTCCCACGCCGCCATTAACCAACTCAGACGGAAGACCATATCGCGTAGGGCGTAAGCGAGTTTAAACGTGTTGCTAAGCCACTTGTTGATGTCGTGCCTCTGGTGAAGGGTCGCACGACTTCCATCATACCGTTTGACATGCGCAATCAGGTTGCCATCTGAGCCTCATCCTTCTCGGGCTTTTATCTCTTGTGCAGGGAGGGGGCACGGCGGGCAGATTCTTTACCCTCCGTCATGCCCGGGAGGTTGAGGAGGGAGTCATCTTTTATATGTGCATAGACGGCGACGATAGCGCAAACGACGGCAGCCGCAACAGTGGTAGTGAAACGGCGAAACGGAAGGCTAAGTGTTTACACACTAAAACGATCGCACAACTCACGAGGGGGATAAAAGTTATGGAGTCCTGTCATGTCGGAATCCAACGGAATCCACCCTGTCCGACTCTGTTGAAGGCAAACTCCACCACTAAAAGACGCAGCCTTTCCACTAATATCTCTCGGCCCAAACACACTTCCCCATTCTAACCCCTCGATATCATCTCACAGGTCTCAGGAGAGCTAAACTTCAGTGCCAAGATACCCCCTCTAGATACCATCCAACACTTACACTGCCTCGGTAGTGCTGGCCTTAGCATGCTTCGAGGCACCAATGGCTAGACGGCCCCAGGCCCTAGATAGAGATGTGCCGCTGCTATCCAAGCCTGCCCTCTTTCACTCCTTCCTGCCCATTAGATGCGCAAGGTATTCATCTAAAACAATTCCTGCTATTTTCTTTCCTAAGAACTTCCTCTCTACTGTGGAAATCCCCCATGGCCAGTAACATTTTCCATGTGAGCCTCTAGTACAATACTTCGGCCTGCCCAATTCATTGAAGGCTTCTATCCAGATGTAGACAGGAACTGCAGCTGAGCTTGAAAACTACAATGTAGCCATATAGGAGGGTGTCGTCCCAGTCATTAGGTTGTTTAGTTTAGAAGTATTGAATAAGCCCACATTCATAGTAGACTGAGCACACACATTCCCACAATCCAAAAATTTCAAAATGCTCCACACTTCATTGACCTCCAGCTCGTTGTCATACTTGTTGCAGAACTCATCATGGTACTTGTACTCTTACTCGCCATCATGCTTGTTGTTGTACTTACCATATATGGCCCCTAAGAATGACTTTCACTTCTCTAGTAATGCAGGTAATCGTACATTTTGAGCCTAGCATAGGACAGGAGAAATCAGCATGCAGTATTGCAAGGTGGGCTAGAGGCAGAGAGAATGGGCAATCCAACTAGAGAGTCAATGTGGTGAGGCAGGGAAGTCAGTTTTATAAGACCATATCAGAGCTGGAAGGGGTTACCTCTTGGACGATAACCTGGTATAGAAGCAAGGTTAGATTAAAAGCTAGAATAGAAAATGTAATCAGGGGCAGAAGAGACATACCCCTTAACCCCCTGGCCAAAGCCTTGCAGCAGACCCTCTTTTTAGCCTCAAGTACAAGTTTTACATCCTGGTTGACCTGCATGGTATACAAATATACTGCTTCCCATTCCTCATGTGTGAGTGAGTTGTTAGGACTATTATGAAGCCTGCGAACTAACTTTAATGTCACCGACAACTCCAGCACAAAGTCGAGCAGGTTCTATTGGAGCCCTTCCTGGTGGGTACCTGCATGGCACATGGCTAACGCCTTCAAAAAACTGCCAAGACCTTCCCACCACTTGACCACTTGCTTTATCTGCTTCTTTGCAGTACAAACAGTATGATCATAGGATCATGGATGGGCAATGCTGCAGTTGAGTAGATGGATGAAGTATTAATGTATGGGGGTGTGCCAGTAGAGTAGAAGATGGCCAGATGTAGTGAGCTACTGTAAAGATGGAGAAACTGCAGAAGGAGTTACCAAATAAGTACAAAGGGGGGAGAGCAGAGGGTTCACTACAGACTCACGGATAATGCTAGTTCATTGAGAAAGGATGGGTGAGAAAGGAAGAGAAAGAGAGTACGATAGTAAAAGCAACCAGTACGGTAGACTAGCGTTGATACGATATCCAGAGGACTGGCAGATATCAGAATGGGGGGGAAGGCACAGGATGGGTGTTATGTGATTACCCAGACAACAGATGTCTTGGCAAGGGGCTTTATTGTTTATCTGGTTTGCCTTCTTATCAATCTTTATATTCGCTCTTCCCTCCTAACATTATCACTACTCTTGACCCATCCTTCTTCTTCCTTTTCCTATCCTTCTTATCTCTTTTCGGTACACAGTGTTGAACCACATCTTTATCTATCTAGAGCCTCCTCCTCCCCCCCCCCCTCCAGACCATTATCATTGCTGTGTCTGCAAGCATTTTCTCTTTGTATTTTTCCTCTTGTTAATCTTTTCACTCCTACCAAGGTAAAAAAAAACTCTTGAAATCTGCTATCAGGTTACTTATGAAAATTTGCCTGTTAACCCATGATAGGATCTTATTTGCTGGTCAATAGAGCTACAAATACTGGCCAACAAGGCCCAATCCATCTAGTGGACCAATCCTATACCACGTCCTGAAAACAGTAATCTTTCTCAGAAGCTTCCAGCTCTGAATCAGGAAATTACAGCACTGTCAGAGATAGTGGGATTCAAGAGCTCTCACAGTGCTCTGGATTACGATTATTAGTGGTATGATTAAAGAACTTGCTTGCTTTAGTATGGTACTAATGCTTTGAATAACTAGTCCTGACAAAAGCCTACTACATCCTGTCTTGTCCCTGGGAGAGTGGATTCAGGCTCATGGCTGACAAACTCGACAACCCACACTATCTGATGGCTCTGATGAGCAATGTATTCTGGGAAAAGACAGACGATTCTTCTTACTATACAAACTCTTCACTTTTCCAGCTCGAATTCGGTACTGTCAATAACCATAACACGAATATTTGTATCTTTCTCGTCCTGGATACTCTTGCCCATATATTAAATTTTCAAGAGAAGTCTGAGGTCATCACACTAGGTCTACAGTTGAAATCCCAGACAAAACAAATTCGCCTAACGGTCACAGAGAACAATAAGGTTATGGATGGCCTGGTTCTCCATCTTGAGAATATATGGAGAAAGTTGCAAGCCCTATCAAATGAGTATGAAGAGCAGAGGACCGAGAGATCAGAGATGTATCAGGGGGTATCACCACCCATGCCCCTAAAGGTGGGCCTCTCTTTGAAGAAAGAGATATTTTGTAATATATCTCAGTACTCCTTGAGCAAGCACTAGTAGATGAAGTGAATAAATAAGTGGTAGAAACCCCTTAGCTAGTTTGTTAGGGAGTTGGTTAGACACCATTCTGACACCAACCTAGATGGGTTTCAACAGAACCTGTACAACTTTATGACCTGGTGGTCATTGATAGGTCTCAATCTTCATAATAGTTGTGGAACCCCATCACGTCTAAGGAATAGGAAGATGTATAGGATCAATCTATGTTGGTTAACCAGAATGCGAGATTTGTGCTTGTAGATAGAGAGAGGACCAGCTGCGAGATCTTGGCCCAGGAACTCCATGGTATGTCCTCTCTGTACCTCATTGCATTTTTTATTCTAGCCTTTAACCTAACTTCGCTTCTGTACTAGGTAATTGTACTGGAGACCCCTTCCAGCTTTGACGTGCTCTTGAGAAGCTCATTTTCCTATCCTGCCACATTGACACTCTATTTGAATTTGTCTATTCTCCCCATCTCTGGCCTGCCTTGCAATATCACATGTTTATTTCTCCTATCCCAAAACAGACCTATACTATAAAATTACTAGTATTACTGGAGGAGTGGAAGGCCTTCTTAGAGGTTGTATGTGGTGAGCGTGACAATGATGGGCTATGGCCCAGTGCAGCCAAGTTGCTAGAAGGGTTTGGGTTGAAGGA